AGCTCTAGAGATCTGCTATACAGCACAGTTCCTAAGTCAACAGTAATGTATTGTACATGTAAAAACTGGTTAAGCGGGTATATCTCACTTTAAGTGTTCTCACCCCAATACAATAAAACTAAAATAAAAGCTGTGACCTGAAAGGTAACAAATAATTTCAACTAAGTAGGCTGCATGCAGAGGCTCACGTCTGTAATCCCAGCACAAATCCCAGCACTTTGGGAGGCCAAGGCAGGCAGATCACTTGAGCTCAAGAGTTTGAGACCAGCCTGGCCAACATGATGAAACCCTGTCTCTACTAAAAGACAAAAAAATTAGCCAGGTGTGGTGGCGGGCACCTGTAGTCCCAGCTACTTGGGAGGCTGAGGCAGGAGAATTGCTTTAACCCAGGAGGCAGAGGTCGCAGTGAGTGGAGATCGCGCACTGCATTCCAGCCTGGGTGACAGAGTAAGATTCTCCAAAAAAAAAAAAAAAAAAAAAAAAGGAAAAAGAAAAAAAATGAAGCAGGTAGAAGTGAGATGTGGGAAGAAGTGAGATGTGGGAGTCTTGTTCATGCCAGATCTACTCATATAGTGGGTATGGCTCAGGTGTGGCACATCCCATCACCTGGGAGTTTATTTGGCTCTCAGCCCTGGCTATTCAGGCTAAGCATCCTATAGCATCTGGGAGTAGTTACTAATGCTGCGTCCCACAAGGAGGGATATAGGGTTGCTAGTGCTCAATGAACTTGAGCAAATAAGGCACACTGCAAACGTTTCCGGCTTAGGTCATGCAGGACAGGCTCTGGAGTAGCGCAGCCCTGGGTTTAAATCCCAGCTCTGCTACTTATAAGCTTTGTGACCTCAGGCACATTGCAAGTGTCCTCCGGCTCAGGTTTCCTTAGTGAAGAAGGTGCAATGACTCCTACCTTGGAGAGCTTGCCGGGAGGACTCCCAGGAGTGAGTATCAATGAGTGGCGTTAGCAAGGCATGGGGCACCTAGTGAGGTGTCGTGAACTGCAGCTATTCTTTGTCTCATGTCATTACTGAACCCCAGCAAAACCACATGTAATGCTACAAGGAATAATAACTCAAATCTGCTGAGAACAGGAGCGTTTTCCACAAATGCCTAAGGGGCCAAGTGGACAACAGAAATGGGGTTAAGGGGTCCAGAGGTGCCCAGGAAAACTGGAGAGAAAGGCATACGCCACCTGCATAGGGCAGCTGGTACCCAGCTGTGGCCAACTGGCCAGGCGGCAGGATGCGGGCCCCACGTGATAGACCTGATTTTTCAAGGGGAGATGCAAATCTGGGATTTTCTGTGATCTACCCATTTTTAAATGTAGGAAACTCATTCCAAATGTTCTCCATCAGGACACGGCCAGCAAGTGTATACATGTCTACCGGCTGGATCTGCCCTCCAGACATCAACCTGTAATTCAGGGACAGAGTTCCAGGTTTACAAAGCACTTTCCCAGCTATCATTTCATTTAACCCTCACAGGAGTCACTTGAGGTGGGCACTGCGATGACACCTTAGAAAGGTAACAACTGAAGCTCTGAGGAGTTACAAAACTTTCCCAAGGTCTCGGCGCTATGAAGTCTTCGGGTCGGACTGAACAGAAGCTTCTGAATCTGAGAAGGCGTTTCAAAAAGCCTCTAGTGATTCTTTTTTTTTTTTTTTTGAGACGGAGTCTTGCTCTGTTGCCCAGGCTGGAGTGCAGTGGCCAGATCTCGGCTCACTGCAAGCTCCGCCTCCCGGGTTCACGCCATTCTCCTGCCTCAGCCTCCCGAGTAGCTGGGACTACAGGCACCCGCCACCTCGCCCGGCTAGTTTTTTGTAATATTTAGTAGAGACGGGGTTTCACCGTGTTAGCCAGGATGGTCTCGATCTCCTGACCTCGTGATCCACCCGTCTCCGCCTCCCAAAGTGCTGGGATTACAGGCTTGAGCGATTCTTAACCTGCAGATGCTGAGTGCGTCCCGATTAATCAATGAACAATGACTTTTACCAACTGCTGAATTCAAAACCCTGATTTTATTCTTTTGCCTTCTCACTTGATAAATGACTAGTTTACCCAAAGAGAGAAACTTACGAAGTACTAATATGGAGATCTGAAAAGAGTGACATCAAGTGTCAAGTGAAGGAGCTCTAGAAGATGCCACCGCACACTGCCCCGTCTTGGGGTGCCGCCTATCCTCCCTGCAGGACAATAAGAGGCCCCTATCCTGAAGCCGTGTCCGCAGTCCTTGAGCCTGGCCTCCTGAGCTTGCTCCCCTCTCTCTGAGAACTTGGAATCTGAACAGGGAGAGTCAGGAGCTGAGTCACTTTCTGCTTTCTCAGCTTCACTGATATAATTCACATACCAAACAGTACACCTGCTGAAATGTACAATTCAGTGATTGTTAGGATATTCACAGAGTTGTGCGATCATCAATACAGTCAATTTTAGAACATATCACCATCCTAAAAAGGAACCTGGATCCACTGGAGCTCAGGCACTTTTATGGCTCAAGTTCAGGGTGATGTTTCTCAAAGTATGGTCCTAGGACCACTTACCCCTGAATCACTGAGGGGGCTTTTAAAAATGCCTATTTGCCAAACATGGTTGATCCTACCTGTAATCCCAGGTACTGGGGAGGCTGAGGGAGGAAGATTGCTTGAGGTCAGGAGTTCAAGACGAGCCTGGGAAATGTAGTGAGAATGTACCTCTATAAAACATTTTAAATAATTAGCCAGGCGTGGTGGCGCATGCCTGTTGGCCCAGCTACATGGGAGGCTGAGGCAGGAGGATCACTTTAGCCCAGGAGCTCAGCCTAGGCATACAGCAAGACCCTGTCTCAAAATAAAACAAATAGATTATTTTAAAAATGCTGATTTGTGATCCTATTTCAACCTACTGTGTAATCTCAGCTCACTGCAACCTCCACCTCCTGGGTTCAAGCGATTCTCCTGCCTCAGCCTCCCAAGTAGCTGGGACTGCAGGTTCCCACCACCACGCCCGGCTAATTTTTGTACTTTTAGTAGATATGGGGTTTTGCCATGTTGGCCAGGCTGGTCTCAAACTCCTGACCTCAGGTGATCTGCCTGCCTCCGCCTCCCAAAGTGCTGGGATATAGGCATGAGCCACAGTGCCCAGCCCTTGGAATATTATTTTTAACGCAGCAAATAAAACACGTAAGACTACAAAGAAAACCAATTACACTAAAATACAGCTGGCAAAATATTTTTTCCATGCATTTGTGATACTGTAATCTATTGCTTCTTTGTGAATGCATTAACAGCTCTAGCAAGCGGCTTAATAACTGCTGTGCTTTTAAAGGAAGAAGAACACAAACAATCTTCTGAAATATCTTTCACATCTGAAATGTGATGTGAACACATTTGTTGATTTCTTTTGGTGACAAAGTCTCAGCTACTGCTACTACTACCGTGGCTTTTTGCCTGTAATTCATCGAGTGAAAGGTAAATTTCACTCAGACGTTTGTTAAAATAAAGCTGTCATTTTCCTCATCCAAATTCATGTCAATCTGCCAGACCCTCAGGGAGTAGGTGGACTGCAAGTTACAAGGACCCTTGCTAGGGAGGGTCCAGGAATTCCTCCTGCTGGGTCCCGAGAGTGGCCTCATTCTTTCCAACTCAAGCCTGGCTGAACATCTCTTCCAATCCACGAAAAACCCAGCATCCTTCCAACAGTGCCCCTCTTAATTTCTGCTATCTTTAGCTTCTGTTATTTGCCATCAAAATTAACTTTGTCGCCACTCTCTCAGTGCTTTCTAGAAAGTTTACTATGCGCAGAGGCACTGTTCTGACCCTGTGAGTACTCACTAACTTAATATTCATGGCAACCCAGAGAAGTGACAGTTCTTATCCTCATTTTGTAGACAAGGAAACTGCAGCACAGGGATGTTATATTATTGCCCAAGAACGTAGAGCTGGAAGAAGGACGGGCCGGGATTCCATGCCGGGCATCTTGGTTCCAAGGCCTGTGCCCCTCCCCACTGAGCGACAGCTCTGCCTTTGCAGCACAGAGAGCGCAGTGGACTAAATGTTTGTATCCCCCTGCAACTTCATACACCGAGACCCTAATCCCAATGTGATGGTATTTGGAAGTGCGGCCCTTGGGAGGTAATTAGGTCCCAGAGGACCAATTCCTCAAAAGGCCGGAGAGCTTGTCCTTGCTTTTTCTTTCTGTCACATGAGGACATAATGGGAAGATGAGCTGGTAGTCCCAGCTGCTCAGGAGGCTAAGGCGGGAGAATCGCTTGAGCCTAGGAGTTCAAGGCTGCAATGAGCTATAACTGCACCACTGCACTCCAGCCTGGGTGATGAGCGAGACTCCTAAACAAACACACAAAAAGGCCAGGTACGGTGGCTCACACCTGTAATCCCAGCACTCTGGGAGGCCAAGGCAGGCGGATGACCTGAGGTCAGGAGTTCAAGACCAGCCTGGACAACATGGTGAAATCCTGTCTCTACTAAAAATACAAAACTTAGCCAGGTGTGGTGGCAGGTGCCTGTAATCCCAGCTACTCAGGAGGCTGAGGCAGGAGCATCGAACCCAGGAGGCGGAGGTTGAAGTGAGCCAAGATCATGCCATTGCATTCCAGCCTGGGCAACAGTAGTGAAACTCCATCTCAAAAAAAAGGGACAGAGAGAGAGAGAGAGAGAGAAGATGGTTGTCTGCAACCTGGAAGTGGGTCCTCACTAGAACCTAACCAGGCTGGCACCCTGATCTCAGACTTCCAGCTTTTAGAATTCTGAGAAATAAATGTTGTTTAAGCCCCCAGTCTATGGCACTTTGTAATAGCAGCCTGAGCTAACACAGTACCTCTACTATTATAGTATGATCCCCACCCAGCAAGAATAGAAAATTCATGAAGCAATTCAAATACCTAACTGGAAAACCAACACAAAGATATTAGATAGAATGTTCCTGCAGTTTTAGGTCCAAGAACACATATAATATTATAAGACAGGTCAAAGGAAGACATGTCCTATGGTTCCGCTGAGGAAACGTACCGGAACTATTAATAAGGTAGAAAAGAAATTGCAGAGGAATTCCAGCAGGAACGATTCCGATGGCCGCATCTTCCCGTCGATATTAATCATCTTTGGAACTTCTGGAATGAGGCTTATAGCGGCTTTGAAAAAAGCATCAGCTGCAAGACAGAAGATCAAAGTCAGTGTATTAGAACTCTGGGAGATTTAGTTGGCTTTCTTCTTCACATGGCCTGAAGGCCAGTCCTGAGAGGTGGAAGTCAGGCGGTGCCAAGGGCAGGTACTGGCAGAGGGTTTCTGCAAACCATGATGAAGCTGGAGGAATATCTGCTTGACAGGGCACTGCTTCCGCTCAGATAACCTCTGTTAAATTGCCTTTAGGTTATTAAGTGAAAAAAGCAGGTCGCAAATTTTTGTAAAAAGTCTAGAAATAACAGTTGCCTGGGCTAAAGGCTCAACTTGGATTGGTTCATTGAATTCTCATGTCTACCATGCGAGGAGGGTGCTGTCGACAGGTGTACTTCACAGACGAGAAATAAGGGAAGGAAAGAGAAACAATTCATCCCGCAACAGTGTCCTGTGTACGTAGGAAGTTCCAGTGTTGGTGGTGGAGCTGCAGCTCAAACTCAGGTCTGTTTGAATCTATTCTAGTGCACACCATTTTTGTTAAATAGCCATCAAAATGTCTGAAGGAACACAGCACACACACACACATACACACACACACACACACACACACACACACACACACACAGCTTAAAGACTTCTGATTGAGTAACATCAGCTCCATAGAATCGTTTGGGAAATTAAGATATTTAAAGAGCTATGAAAAAAATCTGTAAAACAAGGAGACTTCAAAGGGAGCAAGTGAGGAAGAAAAGGAGTGGAGAGAGAATGTGTGTGTGCAACAGGATAGAGATGGGGTGGAAGGGATGAAGGAGAGCAGGAGGGATGGGAGGTGGTGGGGAAGACGGAGAGGGAGAGAAAGTTCCTTCTAAAACTGCCAAGGTATTGACTGTGAGAAAAAGCCTCAAGGTCAAAACAATCAAAACATTGATCTGACAAATGAAATTTTAAACTATCCGACAAGATCAAATGTTTTCATGGTCCAAAGGGACTTTCACTCCAAAACGACTTCCAGTGATGCAAAGAGAACACTGTAGGGGTGAACAGCATCCTGAATTAAAACAGGAACACCGGCCAGCACATCAGAGGGGCAAATGCAACAGCAAATGCTTACTTTCCTGGGAAGAAAGGCCTACGTTTAATGAGAAGAGTATGTGTCTGAAGATGGATAGTGGAGTTTTGCCATCTCTTCCTTCTTCAAAGGAGAGGGGGAAAAAAAAGAAAAGAAACATGTCACAGAAAGACACTCCTTGTAAAGCTTTCTGAGTCAAGTTGCTCTGCTCTGGAAACTTCCTCGCCTGGCTGTCTCCCAAACCCCAAACTCAAACCCCTTCCATATTTATTAAGCACCAACTGTGAACAGGGTACTGTCATGGGCAGGTGCACAAACAGGTGAAAAAAAGTGAAAGAAAGTGTTGACAACATAAACTGTGGCAATGAGACCAACATAATCATACTAATTAACAACTAGTTTTTTTTCTCTTCTGTGTGTGTGTGCCTTTTTTGTTTTTTGTTTTCCAGACAGGGTCTTGCTCTGTTGCCCAGGCTGAAGTGCAATGGCATGATCTTGACTCACTGCAGCCTCTGCCTCCTGGGCTCCAGCCATCCTCCTACCTCAGTCTCCCCAGTAGCTGGGACTACAGGAGTGTGCCCACCATCCCTGGCTAATTTTTGTATTTTTTGTAGAAATGGGGTTTCACCATGTTGCCCAGGCTGGTCTCAAACTCCTGAGCTCAAGCGATCTGCCTGGCTCGGCCTCCTAAAGTGCTGGGATTACAGGCGTGAGTCACCGCATTGGGCCAACACTTATTTTCTAAACCTGTTACGTATTTTGGTCTATGCATCCACTTATCTCAATTGTTTTGGGGAGCGACATTAAATATGGGGTTTGAGGAAAAGCCACCTGATGTCAGTTCTGATAGAGAAACCTTCCAGAAAGGGTCAGAGCCTGTAGGGTCTTCTATCTTGTGACCACTAGTAAGACATGGCCCAACTGGGCGCAGGGGCTCACGCCTGTAATCTCAGCACTTTGGGAGGCTGAGGTGGGTGGATCACTTGAGGTCAAGAGTTTAAGACCAGCCTAGCCAACATGGCAAAACCCCATCTCTACTAAAAACACAAAAATTAGCTTGGCGCATTGGCACATGCCTGTAATCCCAGCTACTCGGGAGGCTGAGGCAGAAGGATCACTTGAACCTGGAAGTCAGAGGTTGCAGTGAGCTGAGATCATGCCACCACACTCCAGCCTGGGCAACAGAGCAAGACTCTGTCTCAAAAAAAAAAAAAAAAAAGACATGGCCCTACTTATGGAACCGACAGGGGCTCCCAGGGCCTATCTTTAAGCAGTTCATTTCCTTAGTCCTCTGGCAGTCCCACAGTGAAGGAAGTATATCATGAAACAAGGTTCTCAGTGGGAATGCAAATTCTTCTCAGAGCAACTTGAAAGACCTTTTTTTTTTTTCTATTTATGTGTTTGTTACTGACTGGCCCAGAGAATGTGCCTATTATTATGCCTCATGAAAAAGAGAGCAGCTTTGTCCCCAGAACTTGGCTCCTCTCACCCACCCCGCCCAGTTTCCACTCTAAAGGAGGGAGCTAAAATAAATAGTTATTTAAAGGTTGGGGCATGCGGGGTTCCAAAGCAGATTTTTAGTTCTATCCTCAGAAGACTTGCCCCATATAGAAAATATTGCCTGGAGACTTCTCAATCTTATCTTAGTAATTAGAAATCAAATCCTACCGCATGTGAGAGCAGTTTATCCTCATAGTTTAAAGTTCAGAATAATCATGTCAACTGCATGTAACACTTTGTTTTGTAGCTATTAAGAGCCATGGAAGATAATTTAAGATATAGTGGATTTTTTTTAAAGACCTACAGAAAAAGGAGAACTCAGATTCCCAGTAGTAAAGAATATTGTCCCCTTTTTGAGTAATACCCCACAAGCACAGATGACCAAAGCAAAAATGGACACATGGGATCACATCAAGTTAAAAAGCTTCTGCACAGCAAAGGAAACAATCAACAAAGTGAAAAGAGAACCCACAGAATGGGAGAAAATATCTGCAAACTACCCATCTGATAAAGGATTAATAACCAGAACGTAAGGAGCTCAAACAACTCTACAGGAAAAAACTCTAATAATCTGATTTTAGAAATGGGCAAAAGATTTGAATAGATGTTTCTTAAAAAAAAAAAAAAATACAAATGGCAAACAAGCATATGAAAAGGTGCTCAACATCATTGATCAGAGAAACACAAATGAAAACTGTAATGATATATCATCATACCCCAGTTAAAATGGCTTTTATCCAAAAGACAGGCAATGACAAATGCTGGTGAGAATGTGGAGAAAAGGGGACCCCTCACACACTGCTGGTGCAAATGTTAAGTTAGTACAACTACTATGGAGAACAATTTGGAGGTTCCTGAAAAAACTAAAAATAGAGCTATCATATAATCCAGCAATCCCACTGCTGGATATATACCCAAAGGAAAGGAAATCAGTATATCGAAGAGATATCTGCACTCCTGTTTGTTGCAGCACTGTTCACAACAGCCAAGATTTGGAGGCAATCTAATGTCCATCAACAAACAAATGGATAAAGAAAATGTGGTACATATACATAATGGAGTACTATGCAACCATAAAAAAGGAAATTCTGTCATTTGCAACAACATGGGTGAAACTGGAGGGCATTATGTTAAGTGAATTAAGCCAGGCACAGGAAGGCAAATTTTGCATGTTCTCACTTACTTGTGGGAGCTAAAAATAAAAACAGTTGAGCCCATAGAGACAGAGAGTAGAAGGATGGTTACCAGAGGCTGGGAAGGGTAGTGGTGGTGCATGGTGGGAAGTGGGAATGGTTACTGCGTACAAAATAAAAATAGTTAGAATGAATGAATAAGACCTAGTATTTGATAGCACAACACGGTGACTCTAGTCAGTAATTTAATTGTACATTTAAAAATAACTGAAAGAATGTAACTGAATTGTTTATAGCACAAAGGATAAATGCTTGAGGGGATGGATACCCCATTCTCTAGGATGAAATTATTATACACTGCCTGCCTGAATCAAAACATCTCATGTACCTTGTAAAGCTATATACTTACTATGTACCCACACACATTTTTTTAGAAAAGGAAAAAATATATATTGTCCTGGTTCCACTAGAGGAAGGGAAAAGCACCAAGTACATGGACTAGGTTTCCTCCATCCAAGTCCTCTGGGGTTCTTTTTTTTTTTTTTTTTTTGAGATGAATTCTTGCTCTGTCGCCCAGGCTGGAATGCAGTGGTATGATCTCAGCTCACTGCAGCCTCTGCCTCCCAGGTTCAAGAGATTCTCCTGCCTCAGCCTACCGAGTAGCTGAGACTACAGGCACGTGCCACCATGCCAGGCTAATTTTTGTATTTTTAGTAGAGACGGGGTTTCACCATGTTGGGCAGGCTGGTCTTGAACTCCGGGCCTCAGGGGATCCGGCTGCCTTGGCCTCCCAAAGTGCTGAGATTACAGGCGTGAGCCACCATGCCCAGCTGGGATATCCATGTTTCTTTTCCATATCCCCTCCCTTTTTTTTTTTTTGCTTATATTTCCAATATCTCAGAACGATCATTGCCTATCCCATCTTCAAACCAGAAAAACCCCACTCAGGCCTTGCTGACCCCAACACCACAGTTCACTGTATTTGAGACCCCTTTTTCTTGGGGTAGGCACTTCACTTTTTCCAGCAGCATTCTATCATTCTTTCCACACAGCAACTGATGCGTCTCACAGCACTGCTCTCTGCTGGCCAGAGAGCAAACACAGCCACCGTCCCCATATTCATGTAAGAGAAACTGCATAAACACAGCCACCGTCCCCATATTTGTAAGAGCACTGTGGTACTCCTGGAGTGCTCTGTTGTAAGAATTGTTGGGGTCCTTGCTAAAAATATGGGGACAGGCTACCTCATCATTTTGTATATATGATGAGTAAAAGCCAAGGATGCTCATTGGCAAATATCACATTTGACATTTTCCATCTGAAGTTTCAG